ATAATACAATTATATCCCAAAGCCAATTAATCCAATTAAAATAAGAACAAATAAGAATTAAAATAAGAAGAGCGTTGCTTAATGGAACTTTTGCTGATTACGGAAGTGTTCGAGCATCGAGGAATCTTTCGGCTGCCAAGTTCGAAAATCATAATAACACGCTCCCGAACTTTTATGCGTTTTACGACCGGAGAAGGCGGCGAGCAGCTCTTTAATATATAATCTTCGACATTACCGTTTCGTCAGGCCTGAAAAATGGACCGACGATGCTTTTAAGAATCTCTATATGGAAACTTGAACAAAATCCGCATCAATATACTCAAAGTACATGTATTATTTAACTAGAATTCACTTCTATCGCCAAATGACGAGTTGCTATTTTTATCTTCTCTTTCTACGGCGTGAAGACACACGCCTTTCCGCATATTTTTGCAAAATATTTGGTTGCGCAATTATTGTTGCACGAATCAAGTTGTCTCTTCTTATCCCTTTTACAAAGTATTTTACAAAGTAGCCGGCGCGTATTAAAATTAACGCGAAAAAAAAAGGTTAAGCGCAATATTAATTGACCGATTAAACGGGACAACCTTTATTTGATCTTAAACGCAATTGCCAATGTAGCGGGAAAATATTGAATTCATTTCAAAAGGTAAACATGGAGTTCGCGAATGGTGCACGTGTGCTGAGATATAAGCAATTATTCGATTTATAGTGCCCACTTTGTTTTTGCTTAAAAGAATTCCTTTCAAACTCACATAAAACTTGATTTACTCAACTTTCTTCCGACCAAACACGTTAAAAACTGTACCGCAAATGTACGGAGTAAAAAATAATTATTATCGTATAAAAGATACAAATCAAGAGATGAATATAATTTTATAATAATCTCAATTTAATAATTGATATTTTATACTTCGCCAATGAAATAGTTTACAAGACATTTATGATTGACATTGGAATTAATCCTTCCGATACCTTGATGATAAATTGCTTCGACATTGCGAAATAAAGAAATCGCGAAATCGATACCACATCTTCGAATTTTTATTTGCCCAAATATACTTTTCAAAAAATTGTTCGACAAACAGTCGGAAGTTGCTCAATTACATCAAATTTTTGCAAATGAGAAAATTGAACGATGTCACAGAGCTGAAACTCCGAGCGCAATTACTCAGAGTAATTGATAAAACCGATTCTCGACCATCGAACCGGTTTCATTTCAAAACGTTACTCGCATTACCTCGATGACTCCGTGCCGAGACCCAGTTTCGAGAAGCTTATGCCAAGCTCGCGCGTCCACTCTTCCCCCGGTCGATCAGATATATGCAGAAGCGAGGAAAACCGGCGCGTCGTCGGTTCGTGCGTGTTGCATCGACTTTGGGGCAAGCAGGTTGCACCGGCAATGAACACGGTGCATATAAGTTACGCGGTGCTCACGTGTAGGCACGCCGCGGCCGGCGATGAGAGATCGTCGTCGTCTGGAAATTGCAGAGGCAACCCCGACGTGTGCGCCTTAAACTGGGCCAAGTGTATGATAATAAATAATTCGCGCGCCTTACTCCGATCCGGTTTAACGCACGGCCACTCTCGTCCATATAAACACGCGTGTGTCGTCTTTACGAGCATGTATTTATATAGAGCGTTTCCAAGATTGTCATTAACTCTGTATTTCTCTTTAGCAAAAAAAAAAATATTCAATTTCACGCGTAGAATTTTAATAATTTAAATAAGTGTGCATCTAAAATTAATTTCTTAAAATATTATAATCTTGAAGTATATATTTTATACAAGCGCGGTAAGAGCTTGAGAAATTATAAGCGCGAATAAAAGATTTGAAATAATAATTTATATAATAAAGATTACTATAATTTTTTATCAAACAGCAAACTAATTTTACTACAGCAGTTAAAGGTGAAAATTCGCGACAGAATTTGAGATAGTGATGTATTTAATTTTTTATGTTACACGAGACACATAAAATTATAAATAGAATTTTATCAAAAATTCCGTTGCACATTGTGGATCCTCTAAAATAAGCTTAACCAGTAAATATTATCTGAATTTTATGCGAATGAAGAATTCAAACAGATCAAAACTTAATCCTCGTCCCTTGGATTTATGGCATTTTATTATGTATACTAGTGCTTATTTCTTCATAAAGTATTCAACTTTTTCTATTACGTTTTTATATTTATACATGCGCACATTTCAATCGAAAACACATACTTTATTGTTATTCTAACATTAATCACTTTCGAAGCGACCTACAGTATTCTGTTTACAACGCGTTTATTTGCACATGCACGAATCCACGTACACGCAATGCATGCGCATGATATCCGCGTGCGCAATCATGCGCGCATGATGCACCCGTGTACGTCCCTCAGCTGTCTCTCTGTTTAACCGCGTCTTCGGAGAAAGGGAGATCTGCGGTGAAAAAGAAGAAGAAGGATATGTCGGTAAGACTCTCTGTCCTGCACGACACTTATTTTTATGCCTGCTCATTTGCACTCGCTTATGGTTGGGCACGTGCTACCCGGATCGATGAAACATGGTCTTGTCTTGCGTTATGCTCGTAAATACGTTTAGTATCGCATCAGGCTATTCTTATTATTATTTCTCTTCTTCTTACTTTCGAGACGCGTTTATTGCAATTTATTCAAGGCATATTTTTCGCGAAACTCAATCCACAATTTAATCAAGAGAATTGGATTAATTATTTTGAAACTGATATCGCGCCGTACTTCAATCTCTATCTTAATCTTTTGCAACAAACAATACGGTAAAAATTTTTTACAGTATTAATAAATAGGGAAATTGATATTTTTAGTCGTATGAATTATTTTTGTAGCTTTTGCTCCATTTTTAACAATAACAAAAAATAAAACCATTAAAGGGTTACATTTTGCTCTCCGATTGGTGTAAAATCGTGTTGGTTCTCTTTCGTATTGCAAATTATGAATGCCCGAAAGGCGTTGAGCCACACGAAAAATATAATAATGTCACTTAAGCGATTCAAACTCGCGCCATAATGTAGCGGCACGACGCATCGCAAATTTAAAATTACGCTGACGACTCACTCCAGCACGTTCACGATAAGCATCATTTGCACTGAGGCAAAAAATTGGCCCGAGTCCGTGGCGCAAACCGACCGATAAACCATAAATTAATGATCTTTGAAACGGAGGATGACTGTAAATTATAATTTTATCCCCGAAGAAAATGCACAGAGCTGATCGATAATCTTGAGGTCGATCGACTGAATCGATTTGTTTGTGTTATCATCCGCTAAAAGATTATGACACTTTTTTTTTCAGCGCGCCAAAATTTATTCTCGAATTCTTAATGTGTCATATTTATGCGTAAATATAAATTTATTTGCACAATTTGCTTAAAAGTAAAAAATTTTCATAAATTGTTAATTTACTTTTGTTAGAATGCGTCAGAACGTACCGTTGTAATTTATGCTTACATTTCTCCTCAAATTCCTCGATTATAAAAATATACTGATATTTACATATAATGATGAGTTATTGTAGAGGGGGAGAGGGCAATTAATAATTTCGAAATTTTTTATTTATAAAAATATATATACATATTCTCCATAACAAAACAAATCACAGTGATATCATAATGATATTTCTCTGTGACGCTCAAGTATGTCGTAATGAAATCATAATAAAGTCATGGTGACATGCAAATGTCCGCTTTATCATAGATATAATGTCGCTATGACATCATTGTGATATGAAAAATAAAATAAAAATAAAAATATAAAATAAAAAATAGATATATATATATGACAAAAACACTTGGCCCAATGTAATTAATTAAATAATTAGAAATATATATATATTTTATATTTTTATTTGTATTTTATTTTTTATAACACAATGATGTCATGACATTATATCTGTAATAAAGCGGACATTTGCATATCACCATGATTTTATTATGATTTCATTATGACATATTTGAGCGTCATAGAGAAATATCATTATGATATCACTGCCCATACAGCACTCAAAGATTGCATACACATTGCATCAATCTTTCATCGCAATGTTGCAATATTGCAAATTCACTGCAAAATGTTGTTGCATCATTGCTGTGGGATTGCAGCAACGTTAAAATGTCCGCTTTTAGGAAGATTGTAACGAAATATTACAGTAATATTGCAATGTAATGAATTTGCAATAATGCATTGTTATTGCAATCTTAGAATAATGTTGCATATATTTTTATTTATTCGGATATTTATCTGTCCGATTTTTGAACAATCAGTTTAATATCTGAATTCTCTGTGTTGAGGTCGTATCAGAAAAATTAAACTGATAAAAATAATTACTATGTCTTTAATCTTACTAGCCACTCTTTGCAAGTTTCATATAATCATCATGACTAAAACTTAAATACGAGATAGATTTTGCAACGCGCGTCGCATAGCGGTAAACGAACGAACTAGCGATTACCGAATATTGCTATTGCAATGTTATTGGAATGTTGCTGTCACATTCTCATGAAATATTACAATTACAGGTTGCAATAATATCTCAACAATATTACATTGCAACTCGCAAGATTGTAACATTGCTGCAATGTAATTGCAATGTTCTGTGCTGTATGGGTGTGATTTGTTTTGCTATGGGAGTTAATATGTTTTGTGCCCAGCCGTTTTTGCATTATATTAAATTTAAGATTGATGTATTATCAAAATAGTGTAGAATAAAAGAAATAAGTTGTGAAATATCTTGTGATAATATATTTGTTTATATAAAATATTAAACGGCCTGAATGGAAAGTTATGAAACACCCTGTATTAGTATCTGTACAATCTCAGCAAATTAATAAATTTATAATTTGTTACAAACGTTATTTGTGATATAATAGATTTTCTTAATAAATATTATGCTTGTAGCAGATTTACAAGATTGATTTACAAGATTGATAATGTCCACCTTTCAAAGGCGTTGTGAATGTGTAATTTGTAGTGATTAAAATTTGTAAAAGTTACATTTAAAAAGATGATGTCAAGTACAAAGACGAAAACGCTAAAAAATTGTTCGACGGTATTGCAATCCATTGGTACGCAGATCTGTTTTCTCCGTCTATACTCACTCAAACACACGACAAGTTTCTAGACAAGTTTATGCTAATGACCGAAGCATGCATTGGTAAGCATTACGCATTATTGTTAAAAACTTTAAGAATGTACACAAAAGTACACGCATAGTTGAATGTAGAAATGTGGCAATAATTACAAGACAATTATCAATTTAAACAATAATATGTCTATTTTCGTACAATGCGTGATTTACCTTTATTCTTTTTAAAAGAATTTACACAAAGCATAGCACAATATTAAAGTTGTATTATACAAAATATTGTAACGTACTGAAAGACTTTCCAGGTAGTTGTGCAGTTATAGTGAAGTTGTCTGTATACTTGTCTTTGACTGTTATATCGACAAGTTTATCACCTCTGCAATACAAAATTTCGAATTATATATTTTAACAAGTATTAATAATAATACTAAGGCTCCACTAAATTAACAATTAATATTAGAAGAAAAAGACGAAAAGAGCCGTTGCTAGTTGTTCGTGCAATATATTATATTACAAAATTACAAAGACAAACGTTTCTGCCTATGTTAAGCCTTCATCAATATCGTTACAAATAAAAATCATATCGCCGATATATCGTCTTATTTGTTTGTAAGGCGCTTCGACACTTGTGATACCGTTTATTATGATTTTTATTTGTCTTTGTAATTTCATAATATAATATATTGCACGAACAACTAGCAACGGCTCTTTTCGCCTTTTTCTCCTAATATTAATTGTATATGTATATTTTAAGAATTTTTATTTAATCTCGAATGAAAGAATTATTTCAAGAGTTTGTATATTTCAACGCATTATTAAAAAAACCAATTTAAAAATTAAGGAAGCTATTCCAAACTTCTGAAAAAATAAAACAAATATCTGTTTTACGAACTTGTTAATGAACACAATGATAACTCGCTGATCGGGTGTCAAGAAAGCTATCTTCTTAACGTCTTTGTTGTTATTAAAGTCCGTGAATGAAATTCTGTGCGAGTTGCGTGGCACAAACTTGCTAAAGTGAGAAATTGCATAATACATAGGTTGTTTATAAAATTCATCGTTTTCCGGCATAACGAAAATAGGGGAATTCACAAAATTTTGGGCCCAGTTTGGTCCACCATTCTTATCGAGTGCTATATTCCAATCTATCCAACCGCTCACCCAATGCGATAAGTTCTGCACAAATATATTAGTATATATATATATATAAATATTATTTTATTTTATAATTATATTCTTCCCATTAAACAAACGAAATGAAAATAAGACAGGCGCGTTTTTTTATTTGGAATATATGTTAGTTATCTGCACGTACAAACCTCAATAATATCTAAGATGTACTGTTCTGCTTCCGTCCACGATCCTAAAACTACACGTCTTCTGTTCAAAGGATTACTACCTAAGATAAAATTTATGTCAATTAGTTCGATATCTTCCAAAAGAAATTATTGCAATCGCCTATCATTCTTAAAGTTTTTAACAATAATGCGTAATGCTTACCAGTGGATGCTTCGGTCATTAGCATAAACTTGTCTGGAAACTTGTCGTGCGTTTGAGTGAGTATAGACGGAGAAAAGAACAGATCTGCGTACCAATGGATTGCAATACCGTCGAACAATTTTTTAGCGTTTTCGTCTTTGAACATCTCGGCAACATACCACGGTAATTCGAAGCGCTGGTCGTCCAGTGCCATATAGACAGGATTGTATCCGGCCTTGCTTAAAGTCGGAGCTAGATAATGTGTAGACCAGAACGCCACCGTCTGGGGTTTCCATGCCATAGCGTTAAAACGGCTAAGTGGCTGAAATCCGTCCAACGGTTCGTTACCCGGCGTCATGCCCCATATTTCTACGCCACGTTCTTTATACGCGTCGAAAAACTTCTTGATGTAATTAGCGTAAACCCGATAATAACTACGTTTCAGGAAACCTATTGAGTTAATATGTGTTACGGCGTATCGATGTTTTAATTAAATATAATAGTATCATTGTATTGTACATCTCACACTTTATTAGTATCTAAAAATTTCTTTAGAAAAAGACAAAAGTATGAAAGAAAGTACCCGTTCTATTCACATAAACAGCTGAAGAAACTTGACTTGGACCAAAATTTTATGCATCTACCAAATGATAATTACCCCATGTTATTTTATTGCTTGTCTTCATCCATGGCGGAGCGGACCACGATGTGGTAAATATTCTTAGGCTCTCTGGATCGGGCATGATACTCTTTATTTGCTTTATATACTCAATTTTGTAATCATCTTCCTCCACAAGGCTGAAGTTAGTTAACGTAGTGTCACCGGGTGTGTCGTCGTACGTATATGGTCTCGTCGAGAAATCGGTACCCGCGATAGGTATACGAACATACGTATATCCGAGACCATCGGCACCGAAATACGTTCTAAAAAAAAGTGAGAGATAATTGTACAAAATAAATTACATCCAGTTATAGATACATTTGCGGCCATTTCATAAAATGTTCATAAATCCAACACATTGTTAACCCATTCGGCCCGAATAGCTGAAAGATTTTATTTTTGAAGCAGTTAGAAATTTGATTCCATTTTGATACCGTATTTATTTTGCCTCAAAAAATCGTCTGCTTTCACTTGTTTTTCCAGCAGCGAGAGGATATTAAAATTATCCCAAAGCATATAACTAAGGCACTTTGTTTCAAAATTTAGTATGCCATACGCTTCTATAATAATAAAAAACATAAGGAAAGACTAAAAGAACCAAACGCGCTTTGATTCTTTTAGCATTTTTTCTGTTCACTTTTTTTGCTATCATTAAAATTTATTTTTTTCCCCAGCATTTATTGTTTTAAAAAAACGTTGTGTTAAGCCTTTAATTAATAATGCCGATTATATTATAATACTCGAGTAATTTTCGTTGAGTGGCATTGCTGAGAGTTCTAATGTTGAGTGCAGCAGCGTCAGTCAGTGCTCCGCCAAATCCATGTATCTTTTGATACTTTTTTTTACTGTCCACTATAAGAAGTGTTCCATTTGCGGACTCGTTGGAAAAGTTTGCGATAGTGAGCTGCAGTCTCTGGCCACTTTTTGTGGAAGTGTATAACTGAAACTGATTTGCTTGCAATATTGGCTCGTCTATTGTATCACAATACGTCGAGTTGCAGACGCATACGATAGCATCTGGTCTGACGGAACGTTGCACGCATGTGTAGCCTATAACGACATGTAAAAACAAATTAAAAATTTTGGCAACTTAAGCCGCGCGCATCTTTTAAATCATCACGGTACTGCATGAATTTTTTAAAAAAATATTAGACATCAAATCGTCGAAGGCGATAATCAGAAACTTTAAAATTTACTTTCACGATTAAAATTTATGAAAGTTTTAAGCGAGGCAAGACAAAAAGATAAGTAGGACTGTCTTTTTCATGTAAAATAAAATACAATGATTTATTAATATAAACATAATATAGAACATAGAACAACTTTGTACAAAAAAGTTAAAAAAAAAAAACACTTTAGTGATAACTTTATATCATATATAATATTCTGTCCCTTTTTTATAATAATTTCACAAATATTTTCCACATTCATCGAGACACTAAATAATTATACTTTGTAAATTATATCTTTTGAACCTTCAGGAAGTACGAATAACGGGAGTTATGTTGCAACATTGATGACATTTAACGAAAAATAAAATATATGTTTCTTTTTCTCGAAAATGTTCATTAGTCACATAGTTTAGAAAGGTGTTTAAAATAAATGCGTTTAAAATAAAAATAATAACAAAAGAGTGAAAGTGTATTAAACTTACTTTCCACTGCAACAAAAGCGGCGAACAGGATTACTGCGTGCAGCATCTTCGAGTTGCGCAAGCAATGTGTACTTGCTAATCTGTAAATGTAAGATAAATGTACAAAAAAATGTACATGTGCAAAAGGATAGGATGTGTTATATTTTATCGGTCTGTCGTTCGACTTTAAAAACCTTCACTTCTTAAATAGAACGCATAATATACTGTCAAAAATGTAATGATAATATTATGTATCTATACGACGGAGTTTTTAACTGGCGCTATTGATAATTGCAGGATAATATTGATCATCGTGCCGTCGATTGCCATTTCAATCTATGATTTAACTGTTGTTAGTTGTCATGAGTTATTAAAATTAAAAATTGTTGTTGACTTACTCCGAAACGAATTCTCAATTACAAATGTTAGTAGCCTTCTGTGAGTGCGAATTTCGTAAATATTTTTCATGCTTATATTTTGCTGTTCCGTTAGCTACTGAGTTCCCAAATCATACCAATCTATTTCCTTCTTCGAATGGATGGGAGTGGGGAGGTATGTGTAAAATAACGTTCGGACGCTTCGAGCTGAAGATAGGCAGATCGAACTGCTCGAATCGTGATAAATAAACTCTTGATTTCTCGTTTCAATCGTTTTTCATTTGAAATACATACTAGTTTCACTCCATTTTTCTTTACTGTCCGAGCTTACTGTTGAACCGTTCGAACTCGATGCTTGTTTTTCCTGGATTCAATCTATCCTAATAGTTTTAATATATAAAAAGCTCGAACCTTTTCAAAACGGTCTTTTTGTTAATATAACTTAAAAACTAAAGCCTTAATAAAAAAATTAAAAATACTTTTTTCCTGCAATGTAATCTTTCGATTGCAGTCAGTCCGAAAAAGATTAGTCGGTCCTGAGATCTCAAAATATATCTCGCAGAAAATAAATTTTTTTTTATTTTAAGATTTAATCACATGTACACACGCGATAAACAAAAGACTTAAAATTTTAGAGTTATTCAATAATCCCGTGAACCCCGGCGGCACACTTGATATTGTCCAAAAATTGTCCAAAATGCATACTTTCAGAAAACACGCAATAAAACGGTACAAAGAAATCACATATCAATTTTCAAGGGCTTGTTTTAAAAGAAAAATTGTAATTTTTTAATTCAAGCAAATTAGAAAAAAAATTCTTACAACTCTTCCAAATCGTTTAAATATGCAAAATTTTTCGAGGTTTAAATCATGTTTCAATTTTCCACTTTGCTTCCTAGTGCAAAAAGCATCTTCAAGAAAAATCCACTAAAGGAGGTAAAAGTAGTTTTAATGGCTCTTTAAAATAATCTCAAGGAAATTATTGTAGGACATTTTTCACAAAGTTACAACCGTTTAGAAATAGACAATTTTTTTCAAAAGCCTTTAATTTTGCTATTGAGTGTATTTGTTTTGTAATAATTATCATACATAAATATTTATTTTAATTTATTTCTATTTTATTTAATTTTTTTTTACTTATCTATTCACGACTTATCGACTCATGTAAGTGCATACTTTATTTCTTATTCATATATTTATTGAACACGTTTTTAAAGTAAGGTCTAATCAGCAAATAAAAAACCTATTAAAAATAGAAATTATTTATTACAGGAAAAAGAGATCTATATACTTAAGCGATATTAGCGCTTAAGCGGTACTCATTCGGGTCGTTTCTGGATTCGCATAAGCATTGAGTCAATTATCAGTCCACATTTAATTTAATTAATTCTCCTTCGAACAGTTGTAGTGCTAGTCACGTACAAACAGAACTACTAAAAAAATTGCAATTGCAATTAGATCCTATGCTCACTTTGACGTACCGACAGTGTGACGTATAATAATGATTATCAAGATAATATAATATAAAAAGTTTAATATTATATATAAATATAACTCGCGTATTGCATTTAAATTCTCATTAAAAAAATTATTTCTTTGCTTGTTAAATTTTAGTTAATACGTAACACGAGTGATATAATCCATAAACATTTTCTGAAAAGATAAAGACAGATGAAAAATTGCCGCAAAGACAAAAAAATGATTTATTCATGCATCATTTATCTATACGTTTACATACACAGTTCATATCTTAGTCATAATATACTTAATTATTCAAAATTTATATTCACGTTTCCTTTTATATAAATTCTTTACATACATTTTTTAAATAAAGTCCAAGCAATAAAGACAAAAGTTTTGTTTTGTCCGAAAATTTTTATCTTATTTATTACAAATTATGTCACTCGCGTTACTTATCAGCTATAAAATTCAGCAAGCAAGAAAAAAATATTTCCTGTAAAAATTTATGTCCGAAGCAAGTCTTTCATGGCTTTTATTTTCTTTAGTAATCTGTTTCTACCAATTTTATATCAGAAAGAAAGTCCCTCTGGCAAGACACTCATAAACACGATCGGACAATTGTTTACATGACACTACTTCTTATTATGTTAGGTAGGCATATTTTAATCAGTAGTCGATGGTCTCTCAGAGTGGTCAGATCGGGACTGACTTATATATATTTGTAGCGTTTATAACTTGAATTTATAACGCATGCTTTAAACATATTTAATTGATATAAAAGGAACTGTAATTCTTCCAACATTTTATTGAGTGTACAAGGTGAGTAATTTATTTAGTATATAAGGTGAGTTATTAGAAACAGCATATTTAAAATTTTATCGGCGAGAGTAGAGAAGCGTGTATAGTTTGATTTTAAAACTTTCAAGGCAGTTATTGTTCTTCAAATTTTATACTTTTATTTCCGAAATAATTTATAAACATATTTCTTGCAATATATAACAATGTTGACTACACATACATTAATATATATATA